ATGCAAATTCGGTACATTGAGCTCATGCACTGAAGTTTTGGGACACACGTGCAGTTCCCTATGAAATAGAGGCTGGGGAATTTTCCTTATCCCTAAATTATGGACCATCATATAAATACTGCTATACAATATTCAGCCCAGCTAGCAGTTTCCACTTAGGAAGCAACCTAGGTGAGATTCAGAGGGCTGAAGGAGGTTAGTGGGTAACGCGTGGGCAGTGCTGCGTAATGGAAGCTCGCACAGCACATATCCACACTGCATTTGGCTCTAGCCAAAATGAAGCCACGGTATCACTTTCATAAGCATCTGGTTTGCACTGATGAAAACAGTGATTCTTTCCCCAGATACACCTATTACCGACTTCATATCTAAATGAGTAAGGAGTTTGTAGTGCCAGCTCTCTAGTTACTGAATGAAAAACAGGCTTTGTTCAGAGGGAGATTTGAACAAAACTGTAAAACAAAGAAAGGAAACAATAACCAATAGCTGAAGCTATAACCCCAAACTAGGCAAAATCCACCCAGCATCACTAGCCGTAAATACTCAAAAGAATCATGAGGCAAAGTATGCAGGTCTGGTATTTGCAAACATGGCAAATATAACCTCCTAAAAGTTATAAAGGTACTAAAATGTCCACTAAAGAGACCAAGGATTGACACCAGAACAAGGGAGCCAGAGCTCCACTTGCAGTTGTTGCATTTTTTGTCCATGGCTCTCTACCTTAAGTTCCCCCGCCCCAGCCAGAATTGAAGGATGGTGGAAAGAAAAGTGTTCCCTACTTGCTTAAATGTGCAAATCTAATAAAAGGCAAAATGAAAAAAACAATCCCAAAGACCAGATGGCACCACCACAAAGGTTTAGGGAGATGTGAATGTGCATTTTCATGTATACGTGCCTATTCACACAAGTTAAAATCCTGTATGTAATGGGGATTTGTATAGTTTTTAATGACAATTGGTATTAGAGGCAATAGGAAAGCAAAGGTGTCCTTTACACTAGTGTATGGGGAAGGGATGCAAACACAGAACACATGAACGTGTGGTCACGTCCAGGACAGTAAAAGGGGCTAACAGAATCCAAATTAAACATGGCAAGTCCTTCAGAGGAGAAGTCAGGCTGAATAACTGAGGAACCAACCACCTATCTTTGTGCTATACTTTCCATACCTTCATGGCCTTCTTACCATTAACCTGCAGTTATCCCTCTCTGTCTCTCCCTGACTGATACGGGCACAGTTGAGCATTAGCAAAATTTCATGGATGGAGCAGCTGGAGGTTGGAGGCATTGAAAACCATACCCACAATGACAGGCCAGTGCAATTAGCTGGAACTTTAATGCCTAAGCTAACTTTGTATCTGCCTGCAAAACCCAATATCCACAGTTTCAACTACGAACAGAAGTCTAGCCAGCACTTTGATATAAATCCTTGGGGTTTTTTTTGTTCTTGTCCCTTTGGCTCCAGCCTCTCCCCTTTCTCTTCAGATCAAGTCCCCCCTATTTCTTGGCCATTTTTTCCTCCAAAAAATAATCAGTGAAAGATATAGGATTCTTAAAAAAGAACTTAATTTTTAAAAAAAAATTAAAAAATTTTAGCCCATAGTTGTGTTTGTTCTAGAACTCCATGACTTACCAGTAGTAAAGAAGCCAAAAACACCAACCCGGTAGTTTGCTGTCACGACAATGATGTTACTGATGGCAGCCAGGTATGATCCATCTATGGTTGGCTTTCCTGTCTCAGCATCGTAGCTCCCTCCATTGTGGAAGAACAGCAACACTGACATGTTTTTGACCTGCAGTGAGAACAACCAGGTTAATATTCACATAGCAAACTCCTTTTGTAGATCACTGATGAGAACCCAAGCATCGTTCCCATTAACATTATCTAGGCCATTCATAGCTCTTCAACAGTGACCATAATGAGGGGATATCTGACCATCTGTCTGAAATTCTAGAGCTTAATTGTCCACAATGACCTATATACCATTAAAGAGGACACTATGTCCAGCATAAAGAAGATTTAATAGCACCACTGTGTTCCATCAGCCAACAACTCTACCAGGTTAGCTCAAGGCAGACCCGTCCTTCTGATTTGGTCACTGAGCACATGGCGGGCTTGTCTTTGCTGTAACGTGTCCGCTTTACCCAAATACGAAGGGAAAGTTCAAACAAGTGGGAAAAGGAGAAGGAAAAGGCCTGTTGGGTTGCCTCATCTTGAGCAGGACTAAATAGCTGTGCGGGGCTGCTTCCTACTCTCAAGTCTTCAGCACTTAAACACTGCCCAGTCTCAAAAATCTCACTTGACAAGAGCTCCTCATTGCTCTTTCAATCCCCATGGAGGTTTTCCCCTCCTAGTCCTGCAGAGAGGACTTTATGCACAGAGGGTGTCTGCCCCAGGAGAGCCCAGCAGGACTCCTGGGATGGGAAGGAGCTACAACGGGCTGCTGCCCACGTTAGCACTCCTTGCAGAGCCATCCAATTTCACTCAGAAATGGGGGCTTTTCCCCAAAGCAGCACCCCACGTGTGCAGACCCTCTCTGCACACACAGCAGGGCTGCAGCCAGGCCACTGCTGCATGAGCAGCACAAGAGCAGAACCGCCCCAGGAGACCCCAGCATTTACCAGCACATTATAGCTCTGTCAAGATGACGCTCAGAAGAAATACCAGTGAAACATACAGAAGGGTTTTGTTCAGGTTTTTTCCTTTTTTTTTTTTTTTTTTTTTTTTTTTTACTTCCCGCTGCAAAAAGAGGAATGACCCACTCCAATGCTAAAAAGGTTTTTTCAAAGCGTAACCTCAATTTTCCATTCAGCACTTTCATCCCCCGTTGCCCACTTTGGGCCTGTCCTGAAGGAGGCTCCTCTCTCCTCCGCTCAGCAGCGGGTCACGCACACCCACCCGTCCTGCTTTCTGCTTTGGCAGCTGCTGGTGTTTTTCAAAGAAGGGCTGGTGGCCCCTGCAGCAGCATCAAAGTACAGCTGAGGTTTGTTTTTCCCTGCAGCTAGAGGGCATTGGGCTCTGTTGCTGTTATTTTCTGGATGGAGCTTAGCTAAACACAGCAGTTCCATCTGCTCTGGCAAAGGATGTCTCCAGCAAAAATGAGACTGGCTGTATGGGAGAAGCAGCAGAGAAGCGATGGTTGCAGCCTCCTGCAAAATCACAGGATAGGAGGCAAAATTCCCTCAGCTGCCCTTAATTTGTCGTGATTGCGTGCACTCCTCACTTATCTATCTGAAGAATCACTTCAGGAGCATCTTGTGAACATGCCAATGTTACCAAGAAAACCCCAGAAACATGCTGCGCTCTCTCAGGAACTTCTGCTCCTGAATAGAAATTGCCTAATTCACAGCGCCTTGTCCCTGGTTCCCATTTCTGCACCACACACAGCACAGGGAGAGAGATGGGGACAAAGGAAAAACTGAAAGAATCTTGTTTTCACAGGAAAATTCATTCTAAAATACAGCCACATCAAGCCCTGCTGGCTAAAACGGTACCAAACATGGTGTTGGGCCTGCTCCATCCCCTCAGCTCAGCATGGTTAAGCCTGAGGTTCCAACTAGGCATTTCCCACGTGTCCACAGCCTGCATAGCACCATGACCTCCAGTTGCCCTGTAAGTTGTATACTACCTCATGCTGAGCAACTTCACCCAATGCTCTAGTGACGAAAGGCTTGAGGAAGGCAAGGATGGGAGATGAAAGTTAAAACCAGCAAAACAAAGCCTGCTGCAACACATAGGGAGAAATTCAAGGGAAGATTTAGTGCCAGGCCTGTGCTTAGTACCAAGGGTCTGGAGGTAGCATTCCCATTTCTAGTCTGCATCAAGGAATGACAAATCTGCCCCCTACATGAAGGTAAACTATTATGAAAAATAATTTGGGGTTTAATCCGGAGGGATTTCAATCTCAGAGCTCATGGATTTGGGCATTTTAGATGAGGGCTGCTTAACACAGTTGCCTTCCCATTTCTTGTTAGCCATTTTAACAGCATAGCACAATTATTTTCATGCTATAATCGAACTATGCCTCACAACATGAGATATTTCATATCACCTATCTATCTATCTATTTGGTAGCCAATTAATTTTTTACTGTACATTAGCTGCTGGATGATTTATTTTGAATAGAAACTAATTTCTCCCAAGCCTTGTCCTCAATCAAATTCCACCAACCACTGCAATTAAATCTGTGAGGCAGAAGAAATGTAAAACCTTAACTAAAGCCTGCTGGAGCCAGTCTCTTCACCCATGACAAGTTGGTACCAGGCTGAGCTGCAGCACCACCAGCGTCAATACCAGGCTGCAGTGGGGCACACGTGGGGCAATGCTGGGCAGAGTGGGGCCAGGACATTCCTCACTGACAGGCCATGCCTGCCACATGGCTATGGCCCAGTGCAGGGTTTTGCTCCCTACTTAGCAACAAAATGCAGACAGTCACACTTTGAGGTGTAAAATCTGTGCAAAGTCTTCCAGCTGGGACATGGTCAGGTGGCTCGCTGGCTAAGCTAGCGGGGGGATGTCTTCTGGGAAGCCCAGCAGCTCCACCATGGTCTCACACCTTTAGGGGCTTAGGTCCCATGTGCAAACCCTCATGGGGGAGAGAAGTTCAGCATGCACCGGGAAGCTGCAAGTCAGCTGGAAGTCTGAAAAGCTTTATAATATTCAGAACCATCTTCTCCATCTGTCTGTAAAACACTTAATGAGCTACTTGGCAGGGATAGATTTAAACTCTACTGAGCCAGGCAACCACAAGTGCTTTTACTGCTGTAGAATATTGCTCTGTAAAGAATTGAATGCAGCAGGGACCATGCAATAAGGATGGGAATAACACGTGCAAGGGCTAGGAGAAGAGGAGAGAGGGTACACTTTCTATTCTTATTCAGTGTAGAGTTTTAACCCTTGATCTTGCATTTGAGCCCGTTGCAAATCAAGCTGAAGCACAGCTTTGCTTTGCTAGAGTGACAGGTGGTGATGGTTATAAGTGGAAAAAAGCCTCAGAAGCACCAGTTTTATTTGGAGGGTTACGTGGTGCATGTAGCTATGGAAGCAAAATGAGGTAATGTCATTCACCTTCTTCACTGCTTGACACTTAAAGAGTCCTCCAGGGGCAGGCAGCTACTGCACCGTGCTCTGGTTCAGGCTCAAGACACTCCTGAACGACCTCTGCATTCGCTGCTCTCCAGGAGGTTTTCTATTCAGTATTTACTAGCTAATTTAACTTTCCACGGGCTGAAAATATATAACTACAGCTCTCTGCAAGTGAGTAAAAAATAGAGCTTGCCACAAAAAGAAACAGGAAAATGCCATGCCTTCTGCTCCCAGCTACTTCTGCAAAAAGAGAAGTTTTGGTTCTTTCTTGGGCTAGACTTACGCATGTGAAACTGATTGACTTGACCGGACCTGCTTCTACCTTACATCTCTCTACAAAAGACAGGGATGGATTCAGTTGTCAATACTGCTAAGGAGAAAAGACAAGCCAGTTTGGTCTATCAGATGGCAGAAAATACAATGCTTGCAAATAAGCTATCTTGAAAGCAGCACTCAGGCGGAGATGGCAAACTGCCTGGGACAGTGACCTGCTGTTTTCAATGCGCGATGACTGCACCCAAGGCAAAATGTCAGTCTGGTGCTGCAGGGAGTAAAGAGACAGCTGCTCTTTCTGGCGATTAAAGGAACCTGCAAGGGACTCTGTGTGCTGCTGTCAGATATCTCCATCAACTCTCTCCAGACATGCAGTAGGACAGACCCATAAATTTCTATTATAACCACTGTCACCTTCTGAAAACTATCAGTACTGCAGAAAGAAAAAACCCGTTCCAGTGCTCCGGGCCCAGTCTCCAATGGGATTCACATGTTAGTCAGCATCTTTATCCCCAGACCCCCAGGGGTTTGGCCAGTCATCTAAGCTTGGCTTTAACATGAAGCTTTATTTTTTGGGGGGTTGGACCTCTAGGGTTCCCTTCCAACCCAAAACATTCTATGATTCTATGATTTTATATCTGCTTAGGATGAGAAATTCAAGAGCTTTCAAATGACAGTTTCTCAGATTGTACCATTGGCCCCATCATCTTTAAAATGTCTATTTTTATGTTCTGCGTGCTGGGCACAAATCCAACATTGCTTGCTACCCTCATTCCTCAGCAGAGCTTCTGTGGATGTCAACAGGGGAACAATAAAGATGAGGATGAAAAAACCCCATCTGCTGCTGCTCGACTGGTGGTAAGTGTTGATGTAACGCATGGTACCACGTTATCGTCTCCTGGACAAATGGCCGCATTTCAGGGATGTTGCCATTTCTGTCCTTAATTTGTCCTCCTTCACTACCACCTTCTTCTTGTGTTTTGTTTCCCTCTTTGTCTCTCTCTCTAGCTTTTTAATTTGCTGCCCTCCTCGTTACCCAAACACAGCTCCCTGAAAGCCTATAGGGCTCTTGCACCAGTAAAAACAACAGAGTGCCTAATTTAATCTTGCAGGGCTTTGTGGACACCACAAAAGCTATCATTCATGCCAATTAAAAGTACTTTGAAAAGAGACAGTGCTCGACTACAAAAAACTTCGACTCGTCTCCTACTTACAGTGGTGGCAGGAACAAAGACGTTCAGATATAGGCAGTCTTCGCTGACAGAGTGCGACGGGGCCTCTCCATCTCCTGGCTGCCAACAAGCTGCCCTAGAGACACGGATTGAGAAAATGACAACAAAAAGGCTTGTACTCTTTTTCGACTGCTGCTATTTCCTTGTATTTTGATGCACTGAGTTTATAAAATCTTTAAATCTGTAGATCTCAATCATCACATTTACACCCACCTATACCTTAGTAACATATACATGGGTTTGAATATACACATCCAAATGCAAAAAACACGCTGTATTTTCCTGTCTAGAATCCTTCCCTCAGAAAACCAGCATCATTTTAAAAAGATTAGATCTTGAAAATAACCTTTCAGAAAACTCACACGTTACATAAACTATACAAAATTAGCACCAGATGTAAGGGGAGCGGCACTGGGGGTCTCCGGCACAGGTGTCCCCCTGCTATTGCCTGCACATCTATGTAATCCACTCTTTTGCTGAAATGCCAATTATTTATTTTAATTTCTAATAGTCTGTGGGCTACATTTATTTATATTTATTTTAATTTCTAATGGTCTGTGTGAAAAGATGGTAAGTTTAAAATTTTAATGGATTTTTAAAATCTGTTTGCTCTAAGCATCATAGAAGACCATTAGCAGTGCCCAGCAATGTTAAAAGTAACCTTTCAATAGGAATTCAGCCAGCCAGCCATGTACAGAAAAATCATTTTCTTGCTATCAACTCTATGAGATGTATAAGCTCAAGCTCTCTCCACAATAAGAATCAAGTGGATGACTTCTGCAGCTCAGATAGAAGCTATTTTGAAGCCGGTTCCTTCTGCTTCACAGCCATATTTATATCACATAATGAGTTATGGAAAAGCATCACAAGTTATTAGGGAAAAAGCCAGAAGAAGCTATGGAAAAGACAGTAATATCTCAGAGAATGATTTCTAAATTATCATTTTAATGGCCTTGTAAAATTTTACACTGAAGGTATGAAGATTTCAATAGAAAACTACAAGGAAAAGGACCAGCTTTAACATAATTCTACAATATCTTTCCATAAGGGAAGTTCCTAGGATGGTGATATCACTCAGTAGCTTTCACACTGATGTAGAGAAGCACATCGTCTCCAACCAAAACTGCTAAAGCCATTTTTAAGGCAGAGAAAATACAAATTCTCAGGTAGGAAGCCACCCAGGACAACAGGTATAATGCTATTAATAGTAGAGCTTCCGACAGGGCAGCAGATTTCATCACCCGTGCTCATGGATTTTTTTTTTTTTAAGCAACTCATCAAGATTCCCAGCACCTCCAGCTCCCAGGATCTCCTCATGCCGGGACCGACTCTGGGGAAAGGCTGCCACCTGCTGAGGCAAGTCCACAGCTCTGCTGCCAACTGGACACCAACAGCTGGACAGATTTTTGGGTTGATTTCATTTAAGGTTGGGTTGGTTTGGTTTTTTTAAGTCTTTTATCAGGTCCAGGCTGATAAATAAACATTTCCATCAGTAATATCACTGTGCTAACGTGAATTTCTTATATATAAATGTTGTGCAACACCAACATAGAGTCCTAAAAAGTATAGATGTCAACACTTTCTCTACACACACAGAGTGAGGTCCCTCTGATTCTCCAATTGCATGTCCATGGTGCTAAACTCAAAGAATTATTTTTTTAACCTTAAGTGAATAACAGAAGATAATGGCCAAGCTCTTCATTGGCGTAAGGAAGCACAGAGAATTCAAAAGATAGGAGCAATTTAAGCAGACTAACTAAGGTCCCTAAATTGCTTTGAAAATCTCAGCCAGGCTGCTCATTGCAACACCATGTCTTCGAAGAGAGACCACAAAGGTGGCTGGCTCTTACCCAAAGTCCTAGCAGACACCACACTGTGGTTACAGACACAAAGAGCTGATGGTGTGTGTGCTAACCTAAAAAACATCACTGTGCACCTGAAGAAATAAAAAGCCATGTCTCGCCAGATCCCTCCAACGTACATGAGGCTGTGTGACTACTGTGGTTATGATGTTAACACCTCCACAACTCAGGTGCAACCTGAAGGATGAGACCACCAAAGGCCAGATACTCTTTCAACTTCTCAAGACAATGCTGCATCTCTTTTCACTTGGTTCATCACAGGGGTGCACTGTGAGAAAGGCCCTATAAAAACAACTTCATTTTCATATCTTGTTTCTTGTTGTTGCTGCATTTCTATTTGCTGTGGGGTTTTTCTTAAAAGAAATCCACTGCCCTAACATGTTCCACGGCACAGATATACTGAGTAGTATCACCCAAACCCTCTTTTCTTTAAGAAATTCACATTCACAATTTGTCATTTTGGTTCCCCAATGCAACAAAATTAAGAATCATATCTTAAGACTAAATGAAACACAAACATGCACACAAAGGCTATGCCCAAAGACTGCCTCTGACCTAAACTCACTGAGCAGGGATGTCTGTACAGCCCTGGAGAGCCAGGGCCAGCCAATGGGAAATATTAGATATGGGGACTTAAGAGAAATTTAGCCCATCTGCTAATACAGTTCCTAGTGCTCATTTCCTCTTCAGGCATTACCTAGAATTTTTATAACTTCTGTACTTCTGGCCAATCCATTTAGCAAGTATTTTCCTTTTAATAGTTTTTGGACAGAAAGGACTATCTGGGTCCTTCGGCCTGATCTCCTAGACACTACTAGGCAGAGAATTGCTATATGAGGCCCACAGCTTCTGGTTAAATCAGCATTAAAGCACCCCTGTTTGATTAAATACTCTACAAATTTATGGCTCAGCAGGAGCAAAATGTGTTTGCATAAATATTACAAATATCTGTATAAATACTCAGAACGAAAATGGATTGACAGCAGACAGTTGGTGGGAGTTATGCGTAGATTCAAGACAATATACCGGAATCTGCCTTTTTTCCTGAGGTGCTTGCATGCATTAACATATAGACAGAAAAAATATTCTTTTTGCTAAACAAAATCCCAAACTTCTATTAACCTGTACCCTATAGGTTTTTTTGCAAGAAAGGACATGAATATGGTGGTCATCGCTCCAGCTACTTTCATACACCTGGATGGAATGAGCACTTCTGCAGATGATCAAAGGGGTTTCTTACCGAGCCACGGTAGCATTCCAGGTTTCCACCCAAGCAAACGTCTCTGGAGGACTGAAGCGCCTCTCTGCAAGAGGTGGTGCAGCATACGGGATCCCCAGGAACTGGCTGATGTTTCTCCACTCTGAGCCAATGCGGATCACCTGGGATTTGCCCATCAGATCTCCATGAGACGGGATGTAAACAGATGGAGTTAAATCCGATTCAGAAATGGAACGGAATAAATCTATTGGAGGAGCTTGGGGGGAGGAAAAAGAGGAAAAATAATTTGCTTTTTCAAGTTAGTACCATTTCAGAAATGAAAATTAATCCCATTTCCCTTAATTTTAAACTGTTAAGTGTCTAATTCACTTCTTTAAATGAAACATAGCTAAATATGTGCTATTCTCTCCCTATAAAATACTTCATGCTATGCTAGATATTAGCTGCTGGATATGAACATTTAACTTCCCAAACCCTTATTCAAACATTTCTTCCAGATCAGGCATCACATTAGACTATAAATCTGAGCATTTCTACACAAAGGGAGAGAGATTTTCAGACTCCCCCCCTGCCCAGCTCTAAAAAGCACAATGTTAAACCTTTAAACATTTACAGCAAGTCAGAGAGAGGGAAGATAACCACACAGCTCGTTGGTTTGTGCTCTCACCAGAAAAGACTTGCACCTCAGTCCCCTTTCCAGTCAGTAGCTGTTTCATCATGCGAGACAGACGAGCTTCAACAGAAGGCAATGAGCACAACCCATGTCCAAACTCCCTGCAGTCCTGTGTAGGGACTGCTGTTCTTGAAGTGGGAATCACCAGTGCAAGTGCTCACCTTAAGCATTCTACATGCCAGAGAAGGGAAGGCAAGAGTGTAGGGTACCAGAGGGTCTTCATTACCATCTCTTGCCTTACACACCATCGTGAATACTGCCATTTTCTTCCGCAGAACTTTTTATATCAAACATAATTGCTATCTGAATTGATTTTTTTCTTGCAGAAAATTATGAGATATTAGGGAGTTATAGTTTGATCTTTTTTTTTTCCTTTTCTGTATAAGGATTATCTCAATCATTGGTTATCTATCCAAAGAAGAGGTTTTTCAATAATGCCTTACTCTTAAACAGAGCTAAGTGGTACCCCATACTATTCCTCTCCTAAAACAATGTATTTGATAGGCAGGAACCAAATTCTAAGTCACATGACTAAAAGCAAAACTGTACATAAATGTATGAACACACAAGTCTAGCTTTTATGTTTCAGTCTGTGATTTTGCTTCACTTGACAATGATAAACCCCTTTTTCTCTCACAGAATCATTGAATCATTTAGGTTGGAAAAGACCTTTAAGATCATCAAGTCCAACTGTTAACCTAACACTGCCATCCCACCACTAAACCATGTCCCTAAGCACCTCATCTACCTGTCTACTCTCATAGAGTTTGAACATAGAAAGCTCTCATTGATTTGTCAACTCTTCACTGAAATTTCAGTGAAGAGAAAAGGAAATATTTCTTCCTTTCCCCCTTATTGTTACCTGGTTTCCAATTCCTTCTAATAAAACAAATAATCAGTATTATATGAAAAGAGAGCATTCTCTTTTAAAATCAAGGGAAAAAACTAACAAAACTTAGTTACAAATAAGGGCATAGCCAAACAATAAAATTTTTGCCTGTCTACACAACTTCTATTTCTCTCTGCAGTCATTTTCACTTCTTTAAAATATTAGTTCATCTCTGTTTAAGAGTTTTTTGCTTGTTTGATTCTGTTTGTTTTCTCCAGAGACAGTCCTTAAGATTTTAAACTGACAGTGGGTTTTCACACTCCTTGTGTTATTGTCAGAGTTTAAAAGGAAGAGCACATAGAAACATCTTCTGCAGATGAAAAGGAAGGAGATGAACTTTCATTACTGGGTTTTTTTGTTTGCACATTCCAAAACATTTTTTGTAGACTAGACTTCCTTACTATACCTGCTCCTACACTAGATGATAACACTATGATTTCATGCATTTTTATAAAAAGTATTTGGGGACATTTTCCCATCCTGCTTGGCTGTAACTCCACTGACACAGCAATGGACAGTTGTCTAGGAAACTTCCACATTGCTTTATGTCTAATGAGGATTTCCTCACTCTTCCATTCACAAGAATTGTCCACAAGCCACCACAGTTGAGTTTCCTCATCCACAGCCTTAACCTGCTCTTACCTTGTCTCCTATAGATAAACGTAGCTGGCTCTTTGAGTAAAACCCGGCAGCTGTGCCCTTGCAGGCCATGTGTGCATATCAGTGTATCAGGGTAGAAAAGGCATCTTACTGCTGAAGGCTGGATTTCCAGTGTAACCACTGTACATGACTGGTTCTTTGAACAAGCTGTGAGATGAAATGTGAAGAAAATAGAGCAGGTAAAAATGTATTCTCAAATTATTTTGTATGACAGTGTTGTAAGATGCTTAAAAGAAAGGTTTTACAACAGGTCAAGCAACAAGGATATGAAGTAGCTCTAAAGTGGAATAACGGGGCATAAATGTCCTCAGGTTCCCAGAACATTCTCCAAAATAGTCAAAGGACAAAAGGTTATATTGGCTTTAAAATGGAGCAATACAGCAAGGGAACTGGTATCACAGGTGTTCGGAGAAGAAAAACATCTTCTAATGAAGTACTGAGGACCTCAGCTGTATTCAAACAGTCCCCAGTGAGCCCCAGGGAAAGGTTTCAGAACAAGAAAAGTGATCCTCTCACTCATCCTAGTTTGTACTCAGAGGTGGATATCCCACACGTTTCCTGTAGAAAGGCTCCTTCAAACAGTTACATGCTCACCCTCATAAGGTGAAAACACTGCCCACCCTCATAAGGCGAGGACCATCCAGTGCAAAAAGTTGGACCATTCCAAAGACCATCTTCTGCAGTAGGTGGGAACTTTTCCTTATTTCTACTGCTCTGTGGCATGGAGGATTTGCCAGTCATACAAAATTAAAGGACTCTCTTCTGTCTAGTCAGGTGATTAATTAAAGCAGTTGCCTTTGTTGTTACTACAGCCCAATCCCTGCTTCATCCCAGCTCTCAGTTAGCCCGCCCTCACGCACCACAGCTACAGGTTACTTTAGATAATGGCAGGTGGCTCTGCCATCTTTCTCACTCAATGAACTTCCCTTAATTGTTCTTTAGAAAATAGAAACATCATCCCTTTAATTATCTGCTACAATAGTCTTCACGTTGTACAATGCCTGGAGAAGCAAGAGATCTTTGCAGACAAGAGGCGTCAAAATTATGTAATCACAGTATGGCATATTTTGTCTACTGTATCTTTCATTAGATAAACTGTTTTCAGGTCCCTTCTCTCAAATTCAGAACACTGGGGCAGTCTTTAAAAATAAGTAAAATTTGTGTATCTGTGAGAAGGGGGGGGAAGCTGTTCTTTATTTTTCAGGCTCACAAACCACTATTTTCTGTAAAGCTATGAATAATTATTTCTTACCGGATAGACAAAAGTCTCTGGTAGTGGAGAAGTCATTGGATATATCTCTACTAACTTGCACAACTTCAAAGTTTGAGATGGACGAATCCATGAGAACAGAGGATACATTTAAGGGTTGCCATATATCCAAATACTCTGTAAAATGAGCCATACAAAAATAACATAGCTAGAAGAATCAGTAAAAATGTCAGATGAAAATAACATAGAAGTAAAAGCACTGGGGAGTTCCCCAATTAAAGTATTTCACCTTCCTTTGCATCAACTGGGAACAAATGAAATACAATGTTCAAAGGCCTCTGATTGACTAGAGGGTCCACTCCTATCTTCAGAGGTCACGTACAGCTAGGTTTACAAAGGTATTCACTTAATAAAGAGGTAAATTGGGAGCAGCTTCATCCAGGTTTGCACGTAAATCCAACTGATTTAAATAAAAGGTTTCTGAACAGGGCTAGTTACATAAAAGGACATGCCTCATAATGCTTCCACAGGAATTCCTGAGCAGGTATAGCCACTAACTCCTTGGAAAGCAAGTGGATATCCTGCACGTGACTGAGCACTCCCAGAACCTCCAGCAGGCATCCACACCTATATCTAAAACAGGAGCTGGTTTCCTAAGGTAGTCTTCACCTCAGTCTCCTGCAAGGTAGATGTCTACATCTGAGGTAATTACACTAGAGTCCTTTTATTATCAGGAGGAACAGACAGTTTTACTATCCAATATCTCTATCCTGCTTTAGATGTCTGCTTTAGGATGAGACAAATCACCCCCCAGGAATCCACAGATTACATGAGCCAGGTGTCCGTGTTGACTGTGTAAGGAACCTCATGTGAGTAGCTGAAATGGAGATGTCTATGATGTTGCCTGCATACATCTACATACAGAGAGCAAGTCCTGACCTACAGACTAAGTGAAAATGACAACCGTTTTCACAAATATTAGATTTTGTCTTCACTTCCTTTACAAGCAATTGACCAAATTCCCACAGAAGCCCACACAATTTTCACAGATTTACAGACTTTTTTTAAAAGGTCACAAGGATTATTTTGATCATTTTAATTTGATTTCCTAGACAGGATTACATGAAATTCTATGAACTGTTCTAATGTCATGTAACTGCTACATAATTAAGATTTAATTTTCTTTTTTATGTATACATACACATAAATGCAAACATACAATTATATACATGTATGCATGTCTGAGCATATATATACACATACATACACACACACTCTATTATTCATCAAAAATTATTCTTCTGTCTCACAGCGGATTTTAAAAAAAGCCACAAACATTCTTTTCTCATACACAAACACAAAAATATCTGCAGGCTTTCAATTTTGCACACAGAAATCAAAAAAAGAAGGCTTGTGAAAGAAAGGGCCTTTAATTATTTTAGTTCCTTTCAACAGTTCAGTATGTTGTAAAGGCAAAAGGGCCCTGCTGCGGCCACCAAGTCCTAATCAGGAAGAAGGTTGGCGTTACCCTCTCCATGTAATTGTAGGGTGAGGACAGCTGAGTCAGCTGTTGCCTTGCTATTCCTGGTGAGTAGATCTTTCTTACCCTGTTGCTTGAGTTCATTTACCACACAGATACAAAAGTTGTGACCATTCATTTCATTAAAGAATTCTTTTAGTTATCTGAGAAATGGGTGACTTGCAAAGATGGCCAAAGTTCCCTTCCTTCCTTCCTTCCATCCTTCGTTCCTTCCCTTCCTCACAGAAAGACAGCTGTGACCATACCACTCAACATCACATCTGAAGCTGAGGTCTGGGGTTGATACAACCTAGGCTGTGGCATGCTGTCCTTGCAACTTGGAAATCCTGGTGTTGACATAGTTCTTCAGCTGACGAGAACCCAAGACCCAAAACAGACCACAGACTAGCCTGGTTGCATCATTCCTTGAGCAAATAGGCAGGGAGTAGCAATGAGTAAATTAGATTTCAAAACTGTTTTATTCCAAATAATTAATAACACAGAGTAACTGCCACAACCCAGGGCTCTACGTTGATGCTAAAAGTCTTTGCTTTTGCAAGTTAAAGCCTTCCAAAGGAAAGGTAAACCTCAAGCATGGGTTATCTCCCAGAGGACAAAGCTGAAAAAACCTGATGTGCTACCACCATTGCCAATTCTGTTTCCTTAGTGCTAGCTCCTTTGCTCTCACTCTTGCTGAAGAAAGCGTCTGATGGAGTGATGAACTGACCTGCAGTACTCCGTATGCCTTCACAAACATCCCAGACCTAGTTCACATCTGTGATCTAGAGGCAAGAAAGCAGCACTGGGTCCCACAGGTGCTTTTCAACCACTTCAAATTCATTCTATTCCTGTTGTATTTGGGAGCAACTCTTCTAAGAGATAGAGGTTGAAAATCTCCAGCTAAGTCAAAATTAAGGTTAACTTGGTATTGCACTGTTGTCCGTTAAAGACCACAAGCTTACTTAATATCACAGAGCAGCAAAGTCAGCAGCAGCACTATACTCAGAGGGAGTCTGAACTAGTAAGGGAGCAACGACCCTGCAATCACAACTTGACTTGCGCAACAGACCCACTGCACTTAATTTTTTTCTTCCCCTTAAGCCCTGACTATTCAATTATTTTAGAGAAACAGAATGATTTAGTCATGTGGAAATTACTACATTTCGTGTGATTTCTTTTTTTCTCTATTCTAATGGTTTCTCTGTTTTAAAACCCTCTAATATGACCTGTTGTACAGCCCATGATAGAAAAGTTCAGCCTCTACATCTAGGGTGACAGTTTGTGGCATTTATTTAGAAAGATACATTAAAAATAGAAATCAACTCTGCAAGTGATTAACCATTATATTCTCTCCAGAGATTATCTGCCTGCACAACTGGAACCCCTAGGTCTTACTTGTCCAGGTTACATCTTGTCAGTTTATGTTTTCAATTATTTCTTTTTTTTTTTTTTTCCTAAAAGCATGAACAAGAAAAAATTTCTTTTCTATCAATTAGCCTTAAATTTTGTTTTTACATAAAAGCAACGTTACCAACTTGCACTGTGTACAGTATTAGTAACTGAGGTCCTACTACTGGAACACGTAATCTGTCTAGGTTCAGACACAGAGCTTCAAATCACTAGCTGTGGTTGTTTCAAAAAAGAGCCTTGTCTGGATTCCATTTTAAGTCAACAAGTCTGGGTGCATCAGTGGTTTTGGAAGGTATTTTACCAGATTGACTCTCTTCCCATAGCTTTCCTGAGTCACCTCGGGCACATCTCATAATCCTCGTGTGCCTGCGTTTGCCCACAGGTCAAACATTCAGAAGCATTCTTGCTAAGCTAAATTCTTCTCTCTCAGGAAAGAAATTAAAAGCAATTCCACAAAAGCAAAAGAAATTCCTTGGATTTACACCTCTGACGCTTGAATTTGGCCTCCTATATCTATTTCCCTGAGGTTTACTAGCTTAGCATTATTAAAATCTTTTGAAGGTGTTCAAATTAAGCTTGTGAGTATACATTATTCGGTACATGTAATGTGTTCTGCATTTGATCACAAGCTAAACTTCCTACTTTTATATGTAAAGATTTTTATTTCATCCCTTTACGTGGGGTAGAGTCATGTTAATAATATTCATTGCAAATACATATAAGACACAATGTGCACTTTGCAGCCCATGCTAGGTACAGAAGAGTGACTGCTCATGATGCAAACTTCCATAGAACATATATTCATACCTACACACAATTTATTTTGATTATTCTTTGCCCCGAATCTCACAGAAGTGACCTTTACAACCTCCCACTACCCACATGGGGTTGGCTGTTAGGTTGGTTTCAGGTTTGTGGGGGTTTTTTTCATGCTCAGTCCTGGATAAAGCATTTATAATCTCAGATCAGATTTATGTACTGAGACACTTCCAGTGTCTTCCATTCTGAACTTCTGCCCAGCTAAACCCAGATGCAGATAAATGCAGAAACACTAACACTTATTTTAATGACAGAAAAGGCCCTTTTACCCAGAGCTTTCCATGGCACCACTGTGGATGCTGCCAGCTAGCAGTGAGCTGAGAAAGAGATTTTGGCTGTTAGTCGTTTCCTTCTCCCCTTCTCCTGGCAGCAGATCCAGCAATGCCCAAAGCCATGCACATCCACTTCATTACATGGGCAAAACAGAACTTTCCATGGTTGATCTAAACTTGCCTCATCTAGAAACTGCTCTCGCAAGGCACACAGCTACAAACTGGCGCTGCTTTACTGAAAATGCAGTGCACCTGATGGGCTGGAAGACATTTCGGGTTTATATATAGGTTAAGCTCTGACCTTCCAAACCACATTTTGGCAAATGCTTTGATTGGATAATTACAGCACTCTGAATCCAGCCAGCCCTGTAACTTTTATTGCAAAATTATAGATGTCCCATACAGAGAGCCTCTAGCTTCCAGATGTTCTTGTTTGGGTAGGCAAGGTTTAAGACTGGATTTGCAAAAGGACTCACACTGGCCTCGCTCTGCTCCCACTCAAGTCAAAGGATCACAAGACTGGAATAGATTTCCTGGGGGCACAGGGTCCAACCTCCCACTTTCATAGGCAATGACATTACAAAATCCTTTTCATAAAGTAACAAAAGTTTCATCACCGGCTTCAGTGGAAGCAAAGAGGGGTCAGTTCTGAGTTTACTGGCAAGCCTGACATTTGATACAAGGGAAGAGAGATACAGAAGTGCAATAAAGTAACAAGTTACATTTAGAAGAAAATTCTTGAATTTGAGGTACATACACATATCAGATGAGGTTAACATGAGGTTAAGGAGGTACTTAAATCATATCTCTGCGTCTAGTATGCCTAATTTATGTTTGAAAGACAAATTCTGATCTTAATTCTGAAATTTGAGAGCCATATTTAATAGCCCTGACTCAAGCCAAAAACATGTTTACAGACTGAACTCAGTGCTTCATATTCCTAGTGTTCATATTTTTTTTTTCCAATGAAGACTGCTAACCTGTCTGTACACCAACAATCTCCAAAACCAGCAAATCATGAACCTCAAAGTGGACCTGCTGAAAATATATACTTTTTCAAAAATATAGTTGCTTCTCATTTTTGTCCATCCACTGAGATCTGAATAATTCAAAATGAGTAATTTTCTTAAAACTGCCGCATAATAACTATAATCACA